AGCTCTACACCTTGTTATCTCAGACTCCAGCATCGGCAGATCCTACTATCTCACACAAGTCCTATGTTGTCTCAAACAATGATGTCAAAGAACAGCAGCTGCAAAGCACTCCCTGCAGTTGCAGTATGCAGCCACATTTTAAACAATCCCCATTATTTTAAGGTTAGAAAAACAAAGTACTCAAATGGGTGATGGCAAAATAATTCTAAAATCTGCCTGGACAGCTGCATATATGATTTGGTTCTGATGGGGAAAAATGCTGAATCTACAGAATATGAAGTATCTGTTTTCACACTTTGACGCCACAGAGGAAACACTTGACCTTCAGGACACAGACACTCAGATGAATAGAAAGACACCAAAATAACTGCTACTGTAGAAAGTAGAAGATGACTGTTTCATGTCAGCCATTAAGTATGAGGCAGCACAGAAATGACTTTTTTTTCCAAGTTATTGGGTTTGTTGAGATTTGAGACAAATTTTGCATGAATCATGCTGCTTGAAGTCAGTTCAAGGACAATCAAAGACTGAGTGAAGTGGCTTCCAAAGGACACTAGAAGACTTACTCTGGATGCGGCAGGGAGAAGAGAGGCAGCTGAAAAGCTCGCAAGTGCGGGACTCAACTTACAAGATAACATATCTGCTGAGGGTATTGTGCACAAACATGTTGCAAAGTAACTTTGGTTGGGGAAAGTATCTTCTCTGTCATTTGGTATACTGGTTGCCCATTAGGCAGTCTTTATGTTGACTTTAATTTGTTTGAGCAAAGTGAAGTCTTAAAAACACAATCTTGTTGTGAGATTTGATCAGTCTCTGGGAAATTCTCATCTCTTTTCCAATGAAGATTCTAACAAATCGATGGGCCACAATATCAAAATAAACAAAATTATGTTGCGTTTGAATAGAACTTAATGAAGATAGAAAACAAAGTAACCCAATGGAAATTTCAAATTAGTGTAGGATTAAACACCTATTGCAGGTGGCCAAGTGCTAGAAGTACTCTTCAATAAAATCAAAATAGCCCACCTCCAGAGATAATAAAGCTTAACTACCTGCAAGACTCTACTCATCCATTGGAAACTGTCTTCCTCAGAAGCATCTGGTCGCTGCTCTGCTACCAATACAATACGTTCGTCATGGAGTACATTCACTGAAAATACTGCTATCCTAAATGAGGGGTAGAAAAGGAACAAAATAAAATCCTTTTCTATAGTACTTACAAATTATGATCATCTAGCCATTCGACTCTTATCAGCTTAAAAGAAACAACGTAGAAACATAAGAGGAAACTAGTATGTGAACACTCAATTTCTAATGAATCAAGAATAATTTCAAAGTCATTGAAAAACGCAAACATCCACCTTCAGGGTGTTTATTAAATTAATTTTAAATCATAAGAAGAAAAGAATGACAGTTAATAGAGACATACTATGTATATACTTTTACGTTTGAATAGAATAAATTGCCTCTTTATTTTTGGTTTTGTAATCATGCCACATGAAAAAAAGTGTGTGTCACTTAAGCACTGACAATTACTTCACCTTCTCACCAAGCTGTGTAAAAACGCAGGCAGCATTTTCCCATTCTCAAATGATGTACTGGTAAAATAGTTTTAAGTTTTCATACAGGTTTCTTTTTTTATTCATGAAAGGGAGGAGGGTGTCGCTGGCTGGACAGTATTCACTGCCCATCCCTAATTGCCCAGAGAGCAGTTCAGAGTCAACCACATTGCTTTTGGTATGGAGTCACATGTAGGCTAGACCAGGTAATGGTAGCAGTTTCCTTCCCTAAAGGACATTAGTGAACCAGGTGGGTTTTTTTGACACTTGACAATGGATTCAGGGTCATGAGTAGATTCTTAATTCCAGATATTTTATTGAATTCAAATTCCACCATCTGTCATGGTGGGATTCGAACCTGGGTCCCCAAAATGTTAGCCATCTTTTTCCTGAAAACAAGTCCTGCATATAGCTGTGCAATGACACCACTTTTATCTGATGATGCACTTCAACTTTGTTAATTTTAAAAAAGCATAGTCAGAAATACCAGGTACAATAATCCAATGCATGCATATAAACTAGACATCAAATGCTTTAGCTGTGAAACAGGAGAAAAGAAACAAGTTTTCCATGAAGGGGCTAAAATTCAAGAATAGAATCATATACTATAGGTTGCTCTGTTTCCTCACTGAACAGGGATAATTTGATGCAATTTTATAGAACTAATGTCCAATGTCCATAAACTACAAACATCGATTTCATAATACTACTTGAATCATTACTTGGATTCTGTAAAATTCAAAATGTTTACATTAAATGAAAAATATCAGCATTGTCAATACAGAAAGCTGCTTGGATGCCTTTGCCGAATTTGCAAATAAGGCAAAACTCTTAAATATAACGTAACTAAAATTAATGACATAACTAAAATTAATAAGATCTGTACTTGGTAATTTGCTTACCTTCCCCTGTACACAAACTTCATGGGTTCCACTGCTAATGCTGTTGCCACAACATCATCTGCATTGTGCCTACGCCCACTCACCACCATCAGACCATCCATCTTGCCTACCACAAAAACTTGGTTTCCCTGGAGTAAACAATAGAAAAATAATCAAACCAACATTAATCCCACTCAGATAGGTGTCAGTCAGAATAACTGTCATTAGAAAGTTAGTGCCTGGTCTTTGTCACATAAAGCAGAGTACATAACCTGTACAACTATCTTTATTACAATGAAGCTTTCCCAAGCAAACATCTATCCTGCTAACGCAAATGCTCAAAATGTTTTCAAGCCCTTTGCCTTGATGAATATGAGAAGTAAAAGCATTTGCAGATGACATGCAAATTAATAGCACAATTCCAAAATATGCTCAGCTCATGAAAAACGTCATAGCACAATCCTGCCATAATCTCTCAACATTCAAGTAACTGCACCAATGGAACACACGACATATGGCACAGTTCCACACTGTAGATAATTACTTTTCTTAAGTTATTCATTTACATGTGATGATACATATTGGCAAGGCCAGCATTTATTGCCCACTCCAAAATGCCCTCAATAAAGATGTTGGGAAACCATCTTCTTGAAGGGATAGGGAGGAAAGAATGATGATATATTTTTAAGGCAGGATGCTGTGTGACAAAGTAGGTGACCTGGCCTGGATTGTATTGAGCTCCTCATCCACCTCTGAACCACTTCCAATGCAAGTTTATCTTTTTTTAAAATAGGTACTCCAAACAGTTCAGCAAAGTTTCACCCAACTCAGTTGAGAAGAGGGGTTATCTTATGAAGAAAGGCTGAACAAGTTGAGCCTTTCCCCATTGGAATTCAGAAGAATGAGAGCTGGCATTTTGAAACATGAGAGGACTTGGGGGTGAATTCTGAGTTGATGATTCCCCTTGTCAAAGAGACGAGAACTGGGGGACACAGTTTAAAAATAAGAGGTCATGCTTTAAAGATGGAGAACAAAGAAATTTATTTGCGGAATTCTCTTCCCAAAAACAGTGGAAGCAGAGCTGAATAAAATGGTGGCGGGGTGTGTCGGTGGGTTGGGGGGGTGCGGGAGTGGTGCGGTGCAGGCTACCAAGTGCAGTCCACACAACAAGAACAGCCATGATCTTAGCAAATGGGGGAATAAGTTGGAAGGGCTGAATAGCCATCTCCTGCTCTTAAATCCTATGTTGCTATGAAGTGACTGAAACCTGGACTCTGCGACAGTGGGGACCTCAGGAAGACACAGAAATGCATCATCCACTCATATCTCCTTATTAAAGATGCTCTAACCTCACGTTTTGCACTCACATGCTAGGCTTAAACACTGCTGAGAAAGAGGACTTCATATGGCCTGCTTTTTATGTCAGTTGCTCAACAGTCCACCAACATTCATGGCTGCATGACAGTTCATCTGAGTTCTATCTATAGTATTACACTGTGGAAATTAAATCTGAATTCAAAAGGTGGACAACTCATTTTTAAGCATTTCTGGTGCTGTCTCTAAGATACTGTCCTAAACACTTTGCTGAGCATAGGTTGGTCATCTGGCTTAACTGGAATGGTATAGTGAGGGCATGCAAGGCCAAGAGTTCACATACTGTGATGGAATAGGTGCTGACAGCCTACAGCACCTCATGGCTGGCCAATTTTTAAGCTGCTAAACCTTTATGAATCTATCCCATTTGTCATAGTGATGGTGTCACACAATATGATATTGCACTGTGTGAAAACAGAATTTCATATTCAAAGAGACTGTGTCGTGGTCACTCCCATAAATCCTGCCATGGACCAATGTATTTGCATCAGGTAAATTAGTGAGCAAGAGGAGGGTTTTCTTTCCCCCTAGTGTTGGTTTTTTTCATTGCCTTCGCAAGCACAGTCTGGCAGCTATGTCCTTCAGGATTCAGCTAGCTAGGTCAGTGGTGTTGCAATTAAGTCCATGTAATGAAGAGCAGTGAAGTCCTGAATCCAAGTGTATTGTGTTCCTGCTGTTGTCAGCCCTCTTTCCAAGTACTATACAAAATGGAAGAACACTAATTGATCAGCCCAGGGATGTTGGTAGGTGTTAATCAGAAAGTGGTTTCCTTGCTTACATTTTTCTTGATGTTGTGATGTTTTGAGGTCCGAAGTCAAAGTTTAGAACTCTCAGGGTCACTTCGTTACAACTGAATTCCACTGTGCTGAAAGGTGATAATCTGAGTGGAAATACATCAGTCTGTTGCTCCACTAATCTGTGGAAAAACTTTGACACAAGTCCCCAAGCGTAAGCAAACAGGATCAAGTGAGCTGGGTGTGACTTTGTTGTTAAGGAATCTGATGTTTAGGTCAATGCTGGATGCTTTATTTTGGTTTATTCGTCAAATTTTTTTGAAAAAAGTCATTTGATACAGTTTTTTTAAAATTCATTCAAGGGAAGAGGGTGTTGCTGGCTAGGCAGCATTTACCCCCAAAGAGCAGTTAAGAGTCAACCACATTGCTGCAGGTCTGGAGTCACACGTAAACCAGACCAGATAAGGATGGCAGTTTCCTTCCCGGAAGGACATTAGTGAACCAGGTGGTTTTTCTGACAATCGACAATGGGTTCACGGTCATCATTAGACTCTCAATTCCAGATATTTATTGAATTCAATTTCCACCATCTGCTGCGGTGGGATTCGAACCCGGGTCCCCAGAAAATTATCTGGGTCTCAGCAATAATACCACTAGGCCATCGCCTCCCCCAATACAATTTGAGTTGTTTGCTCGGTCGTTCCAAAGTGCAGCTAAGGGTCAATCATACTGTTGTGGATTTGGAGCTACAAAATGGTCACATCAGTTAAAGGCAGGTCTCCTTACTTGAAAGTCATGAGTGGACCTCGAGTGTTAATGACAATCCAACAGCTTGCTCTTACTGATCAGGTTTATACTCTAGATTCGAAAAACAACATTCTGCTCCTGAAGGTTGTAGCAAAATAAACAGTGCATGGAACCTCTTACAAAAATACTATTCTAGCTCGTTACTATAAAACAAATGGAATTTCTTACAGATCCTAGAAAGCCCAGTAAATTAGTCCTGGTGAAGACATGCTCACTGATGGGTACTCCTGCTGCATTCACTGGCATTGCCTGAAAAACATTAAACAATAAAATTTATCCCAACACCATTGAGGAGGCAGTAATCAATTTGCATTTGGCACCCAACTTACAAAACAACGTGACAAATCTGAAGTTTGACTGTTGTGTTTGGGACTCCTTAATTTCAGGCAAGATGGAGGATTGAAGAGGTTCCTATAAACTGCATTAAATTTTACCCACCAAAAAGCTTGAGTGACTTGTTTGTTAAAGGTCAAATTGAGGGCCCATGTTGTTTAACTGGGAAGGCGGTAAAAGATTGTGTATCTGTTAGGTATGTTAGGACTGTTGGGCTTTGTAAACCATTGTACTATAAACTGTCTATTTAATTCCAAGAATAGAATAAATTGAGAGTCTAGATTATTGTTAATTAGCCTTTCAAACTGAATACAAGGCTTGTGTGATTTACATTGCATGGAGATGTGCTCTAAGACAGTGATAGAGATAAAGAGACAGACATACCATTAAGGGTGTAGAGCTCCCACTTAGACAAACAATCCAAATTTGAGAGTCTAAACAAAATTGACATGTGTCTACACACAGCTACAGGGAGGGCTCACTAATTCTTCCTTCATCACAGAAGTCAATTTTGGCACAACATGTTATTTGCTGGAAAGGAACCTGACAACAGCTTTGGACTGATTCCTAGAGAATGAAACATCCACATAATGAACAATAGTGGAGGGAAAATCTTGGTCATTTGAAAATTAACGGAGGCTCTCTTACATCATTCCTGTTGGCAATTCTGTTTAAATTAATGTAGTTTTTAGCTTGTTAAGTCAAAGACATGATACTTGAAATCTTGTGTGATCCTTTCAGTCACTGACTGGAAGTTCACATTCATTTTTGGAAGAAGTTGTTGATTTCTTTGGGGAGCATAACATTAGATAAATGTAAGAATGACCCAAATTAAGACACTCATGAAAGAATTTAAAGTAACAGAAATAATGCTCTAAAAACTGTTAGGGATCCAATGCTTTACTTAAAAGCTTAACCATGACTCAAAAGTGTCCTCACATGCTTTTGTACAAAAAACATTTAAGCTTTTCACATTTGCGATCAAGTAATATTCCCCCCAACAAACTTCTGGCTCATTGTTTGGCTCTGGCTGCAAACTCAAATCTTTCTTGCAAAGGTACTAGGGTATGGATCCTAATGTAATGAAAACTTTCCATTGCAATGTTGAGTGATAGAATATTTTGAAGAAAACAATAAAAACTTGGAATAGTTGTCATTGACATAATCTAAAGCTTTGGAAAACTGGTACAACCCAATTGACCTGGGAAGGGCTGCCATGGATTCCAAAATGATCATCTAGTGTGCCTTGGCCAGGGCTCATGTTGAACTGAAGAACAAAACCAACGAAAGACTGACTGGAGAACTAATTTAACAGGTCCAATCTGAATCTACGTTCAAGTCCAGAAGAGCATCTACTCACTCCTTTACGCAATGGAAAATATGACAAATGACATGTGAACATACTTCAAGTTTTCGGTAAATGATTGAAGTTTGACATCTGGACACCAGCATTCCTCTCCAATCACATCTTTTCCTTGATTGTACAATAACAGATTTTAACTGACATAACTTGGAAAGAGGAGGAATTCTCATCATCGACCCAATTTACTCTCTGGCTGGAGATTAAAAACAATCCTCCATATGTAACAAATAACAATGTTGCCATCCTGCACTAGGATTCCTTTTCAATTACTTTTTTTTCTCATTTTTGCAAGTCCCAAATTCAATTATTTTTGGACAAGCATAACAATTGGAGAGGAATCTAAAAAGAAGAATCTTAATATCGAGTACTTCAAGCTCTTCAGGGAACACTGGACAAATCTTAAAATTAAATACTGGCTTTAACCAGAATGTTACATGTCTCACGTGAAAGACATTTCCTTTGGTTCAGCAGCACTGGCTAGAGCCAGATGGAAATGTCATGATTCCTAGAAATCAAACACTGCCCTTGACCTACCTCTACAGGTAAATGCTTCAAGATACAGGCAACGAACAGATAACTTGCCACCATTCTCCAGTTTAATGGAATATAACACGTGCCAACATTGAACATTAATGTTGGGACAAGGCAAAACTGATACTACATTTCTACTTTGGCTATAAACCACTGGACATATTTGCTGAATGCTAAGCTGATGAATGAAGATTCACTACAAACAAACAAACGATTAATTGTTACAGCATTTTGTATAATTATGAAATTAAACCAACTTTCAAAGTTCACTTTTTCGAGGGCCGCTGGCTGAAACTGAGTTCGTGACCTTCCCTTCACATGTTAGTTTAAAAATGACTGCAATCTCATTGCAAAACAACTAAGTTATTGTTTTAAACTGCTAGAGCATGGGGTTTTTCGTATGATGCTGGATGACCACCATGTTATTTTATTTGAACTGGATGCCTTGATCTTTTTGGTAGAAACCAATTAATCTGTCCCAATCACTCAGCAAATTAAAACATTGATACAGATATTAGAGATACCGTTGGACAGAACAGTGCTCAGATCCTGCAATTAAAAGAAAATTACATTTTATTACTCAAGAACAATGAACTGACTCAAATTGACATGTATGAAATGGATTGGTATCTGATGGATACTGTTCTTTGGACAACAAATAAAATATCATGAACCTGCATTTGCAAGATTAAATGTGAACCACAAAGGAAATGGAGCACTGTGTAATCAAATATCCTGGTGCTTCACTTTTGACATACAGTATCAAATAAAATACAAAACATGAGTCATGGTCAGAATCCAAACAGTGGAAATTATATTGTAGGCCTAAGAAACGAAAAGTGGCCATCACCCAAGTCTTAAACTGGAAAAAAACTTCAGATGATGTTAAACCTGCAAATCAGCTCAGGAATATTCAGCTCATGATAAAAATGCACCTAAAACAAGATATATGCTGCAAGAGAAAAAAAAATATTTTTCACCTCAAGAAACAGCAACTTGGTCAAACGTTTTCTCACACCACAAAACACTACAGGGTCAAGCTGTTGTGATGTCGAGTCAGTACAGTGTAGGTGAGGTGAAGAGGGAAGATAATTTAAAAGCAAGCTTGAAGATTCTAAATAGACAGCAACTCAGTCCCTGGAGGTAGGAACTTCTCAATTTGGATGCGAACAATTAATGTACAAGAAGAATTAAAATGCACTTTTCAAAAAGTAAGGTATTTCCACAGTAGTTTCAATTACCTCAAATACTGTCTTTGTCATTCCCGGCAGTCCATAATATGATGTCCCGGAGGCACGTGAGCTCACACAGATCTCTCCAATCTCATCAGTTTTGCAGAGATATGGGGTACCTTCAAACTTTACAATACACACCAATGCTGAAAGACAGACACACGAAGAAACATTAGAAGGCAAGAGGAGAGAAAGGATACCATTTATCAGAAGCAGCCACAACAACTTGCATTTATGTAATACCTTTAACGCAATATTTTAAGCAAAATTTGACGTCAAGTCACAGAAAGGAGGTATTAGAGTAGTGGTTAAAAGCTTATTTGATGAGGTAAAAGCAGAAAAGGAAGATAGACAGTGGAAGAGCTTCCAACACAGTGGACAAGTTCAAATATGCCTGTTTTTCTCCTAAAGTGTATTGGAAATTATAAACTTCTACATCTGAAAAAGCTTGAATTATGTTTCATAAGGGATTTCACAACACAAGTTGGCTCAGCTTTCATTATATTTTTGTTGGGGATAATAAGTAAATACCTTTTCTGACTTAGAAATTGGTTTGCACAGTTTGGCAAATGAGAACTGGAAACAGCGAACGACCTCTGCATCAAGAGAAGTTTCGTACAGCAAAGAGTCTTTCCATTTTAGGCAGTCAACATGGCGCCTGATTGCGTGAATTAGGAGGGAGAATGGACATCTGGGAAAGGGTGAAGGGAGCAAGGGGAGGAGAGCGAACGAATGATTGAGGGGTGGGATAGAGGGTGGTGGTTGATTGATTCAGGGATGGCAGCAGGCTTCAATGTTGCACTGGAGCAGGACTAATTAGTGTTGCAAATACCTTTTTGACACAACGCTGTAAGTTATTGGATTCAATGAAATGATTTTGTAAAAAGCTGACAGTTTCTGCAGGAATCAGTAGCAACACTAACCATTACAATTAGAGGAAACATACCTCCAGGCATGACAGCGCCAACATCTTGAACTGTCAGAACAGAGAGTTTTTCTTCTGTGTCCATACGTATAACTCCATAGCTCAAGCCATTCATGGACAGCACCATCTTCCCTGTAAAAGGTCCTCCGAAGTCACCAGGTCTGAAATAAAAAAAAGAGAGAACCAATTACAGTTGCACTGATTCTTCCCTCTGCAGCTCCCTTAACTTTTACACAGCTAAAACAAAAAGGTTGGGGAACAACATTTAATCAAATTTAAAAAATGGCAAGATGGCTACTCTACAAACAAGCTCTTACGAGGTCAAAACAATATCTCCAAGTCTTTCTTCAGCATCTATGAATAAACTGGGAAAAACAAAAAGAAAAATGATGTTGCATATCATGTTTAATTTAATTGCAGAAATGAGAGCAAATACATATTCATATAATTCACTAAATACATATTTGCAATACTTTTCAGAAACTTCACTGTACTCAAAGACAGAAACCACCAGTGAATCCTAACATTCTCATTTTGGAAAGAGCGTCTGTACCTCCTAATAGCCACTGTCAGAGCTTCTGATGAGCTGGCACATGGACAGATCACCTCAGGTCGTAAACCGCGTGACTGAAAAACGTTCACAAATGCATCACAAGATGATATTGACCCTGCAAAAATAAAGTGAAGGAAGTAAATACCTTGAGGTTCACCTATATGATGGCAATGAGAGCTTACGAGAGAACATCCCAAATATTTTACCACTGTGATCTGACTTTTAGGTTTCAAGATTGTTGCAACGCCTCTATGGCGCCCTTTGCTGCCCTGGAGCTTACAATCCCAAATTTCAGCCTGTGTTGTCACTTCGGATCCCAACTGTCTTGGCTTACCATTTGATCAGGTATGATAAAGGATCTTGATATTTTAAGAAGGTCACCTGTTCAATTCAAAATCTCAGACTGTACAAAACAAATCTAATAATACAAGATAGAGAATTTGTGTGTATTATGCAGTCGAGCAGTAGATTATTGCCCCATATCCAACATTCCTCATTTAGGTCCAGCAAGGAGCTGATGGGGTCAAATACCAACCCGACATAACCACAAGCAGCAACAAACAGGAAACGAGAGCCTCAGCCACTCTACGACATTACCAATTGGTCTGCAAAAACATAGCTTTGAATAAGTTTCAGGAGTAAACCAATGCCTTCTCACATTGTGAAATAACGCCATTGGTTAGAAATTGAGGGAAACAACATGGACACACATGAATTTCTCCTCCCCACAATTTCCACTTACAATAATTGGAAACAAACTATCAAGTTGAATTAAATTCCATTTCTTCTTTCTGGATTATTTTGTTTCTAAACTGTCAGGATTCATAGCCACTAGATGTCACCATTGTACACAGTCAACATTGCAATGCAAGCTTGCTCAAGTTCTTCTGCCTCAGAGCCTGTGTTGCACTTTACCTTCACACAATTCAGCCATGAACATTGAAGATAACTATCCTTGTTCTGGCAAATGGCTTACTTGTAGCTTGTCCTAGTTAATGCGGTTGATATAGCCAATTACTAAATTGGAGCACAAAGAAACATTCTATCACTCTACGAAAGCATCCTTTACTGGGATGAGTCCAAACAAGGTAATCAAAAATAGCTACATATCCAAGAGACAAAACATTAATAAAATTTCTGTTGGGTGGGAACTTGCAGATCAATTCACAATCTTGTTCTATTCATTTCTCTGCAGCAGTTCTTGATAATTTAACTGATGGGTGATTTTTCCTTAAAACAAGAATGAATGAATCCACACTGAAAATACTGTGCTTTTTAGGGTTGGAGGCGGCATGGCATGATAGAACAGTGTAACTTGCTCAAATAAAACCATTTAACATTCTTTCAACTCAGCATGCTTTATTGGATGAGCTAGCTTGTAGGCAACATTCCATTTAAGACATTTGCAGAAAATTTTGTATTCAGAGATCCCAAAGGATTGACAAGTTTGCACTGTCATCAGATCTCTGTCGAAGATAGGAAAAATGTATGCCATAATATAATATATAAACAAGACGATTTTCAACTTCTTTTGGACAAGGGATTAATTCTAGTTGATATTTGCTTTGCTATCATGCTGCATTTCAGAAGGAAGAAATAACACTTCCCTCCAAAGTGCACTGGTATTTGCAGGAGACCCCTAGGACTGCGTTATCTCAGAGATTTTGTTGTAGCATTCTGACATTTGTAGGGATCCCCAGTCTTTGTAAACAATATTTGCCAATATTTATAGGAACGCACCTCAAACTGCTATTTAAAGCTTATGTTAATTGAAAGTCATTTGCTGGGAATATTAGTTCACATTTCAGTGAATGGTTAAGTTAACATCCTCTACCCCCTTGTTGAATTCATTAGCAAGTGGTTTATTAATTAATGCAATGCAAACAGAAGTAACTTTTTTGCGAAGTTACTCAGATGAAAATCTTTGGGTAGCACGGTGGCTCAGTGGCGAGCACTGCTGCCTCAGACCACAGGGACCTGGGTTCAATTCGAGCCTCAGGCCACAGTCTGTGTGGACATTACACATTCTCTCCTTGTCAGCGAGAATTTCCCCCAGGTGCTCTGGTTTCCTCCCGCAGTCTAAAGATGTGCAGGCTAGATGGATTAGCCACTGCAATTGCAGGGTTACAGGGATAGGGTAGGGGGACTGAGTCTGGGTAGGATGCTCTTCGGAGGGTGTGGGCACAACAGGCCGAAAGGCCTGTTTTTACACTGTAGGTAGTCTATGATTCTAAGATGATATGTGGTCCAAACCTCAGCTCATGGTTACAAAGGACTCTGAGGTTGTGTCTGGTTCAGCCCGAGAACAAAGCAAAGGAGGGTAATGAAATTAATAGTAAGGGTGCAGTGTTGTGGCAAGGAATGCAGTTTTCTAATGTTGAACTGGGACCAAAGTACAAGACTGGATGTTTGACAGACAGCAAAGGGATGTCACACATAGCGGAGACAAAGTTAGGTGTCAAAAGCATATATTTGGAAATTAACCTTATTTCAGCAGATGACATCACAAAAGGGACTCAGGTTATCAAATTTCTATCTTTAAAGAGTTTTGGAACCGAGGGTGGGGTGGGGGAGGGGATAGAATGTTGAGGTAGGAGACGGGGTAAGAAGTTGAGCCGTTGCTGATACAATTAGATTGTAATGGCTAGAGGCAAATGAGAACAATCTCACTCAGCTACACAGTGGAATATGGGCATTGAAACAGAATAGTGTAACAAACCATGTCAGAGGCAGCACAGAGATTCATGAGATACCAAGCACTAAGGGGTTACAGAAAAAGATGTCCTAAGATTATTCGGTTATAGGTTGTAAAGGCAGAAGGGTTCAACAGCATTGGTTATGATGGTTTAGAAATGGAGCAAGACAGTACGTAGGAAAGGAACCATTTACCAAGTCAGCTAACACGGGGACCAGGAATAGTAGTTGGCTATTCAGCATCTTCCTGGAAATGAAGGTGACGAAGCATGCGAGTCAAAGCAGGCATGAAAGGAAATGGGATGAGGCAAGAGGGCAACTAGAGAAAGGCACAAATTCCAGGGCTAGATTTGGGGATGTGCTTGGATAGTAGTTAGGGCTGGTATGAAACGGTAAGGTGAGATAGCGTTTTGAAGATGTGTTATCCAAAACATTAATTTTAAAATGTATATTATGCCCAGTAAACAATATCTTGGACTTTGTGGGGGAAAAAAAGATTTTACAAAACAAAAAGGCACTGACAACAGCATCAACAATTTTGAACTTTGCAAAGAACTTGCTGCTTGCAGGAGTGATCAAGTCTGCAACACTTTCGAGTAGAGGACACGAGATCCAGTTTCGTGATTGAGAGTGAGAGACACAATCACAACGCAGAAATAACTTGCCTGGAGCAATAATCTTCGACTTCTTTCTTTTTGTTGAAAACCGCTTCAAAGAGTGTGAATTCTATACTTACTGGAAAACCTCATCACAAGTCAGTTAGCCATAACTGATCCAGAAGACATCCAAATGCCAAGTGACTATGACTACAGACCACCCTTTGGACAATCTGAATACTTTTCTTTAAATCCCGAATTAAACTGTTACTTAGCAAACATACTTCTAAAAGTAAAAAAAAATTCTGCAAAGGTTTTTTATATTTTTCATATAAAAAGTGCCCCCCGATTGGAGTTTGTGCACGCATTAGTTTTCAAGAAGGGTTTTGTTAATTGTCTTTGCATCTTCACTTGAGTAAGATGGTTTGTATTAGCTACTTGGTTATTAGATGTTTACTTAGAGCCTAGCTAACTTGTTTCTGATACTGAACAATATCCAGCTGATAAATAAGCGC